ACGTTCATGTAATAAATATAAAGATTGATTAATTAAATATTAATATTTAATTAATCAATCTTTATATATTAAATATAAATCTTTATTACATGAACGTTTTTAGAAATTTCTTTTTAAAGAAAGAAATTTTAGATTTTTTAAAATTTTTATATAACTTGAGTTTTATTTACTATAATTATTTTTTAATTAAACTTTAATATTTTAAAAATAAATCATTAATAAATAAAAATATTATTGTGATACAATATAAATTATTTATCATAAATTGATTATATAATTTATATTTTAAAAATACTTATTTATACAAACTTTTTAATGTGGTTTATGAAGTGAATGTTAGACAACAAGAAAAAGGTTGAATTGTTGCTTATGTCAAAAATCAAATCTTTATAAAATTTTGATACTCAAAAGATTATGCTTCTAAGTATTTTCAAAAACTTAGTTATTTTAAGGTTATAAGCAGCCTTCAGTAAAATATTCTTTAAAAGAAAACGTTTCTAATAGCGTAAAACTTGATTTTACCTTTATGAAATCCTTAAATCAAGTTTTAAAATAATAGTGGATTATGCAACACAGATATACAACATGCGGTAAACAACATAAACAAGTAAAAAGTATGTGATAAGAGAGATTGCAAACAAAAATTTATATTGGTTCATCCAAACTTGAGTTACATTCAATTCTCACACATATAATGAGATTTTTCACTATTATTACAACCACTATTCTGATTACAGCACCAATCACTAATTGGATTCACTTTCACACAACACAACCACCTATTATTTAGAGATATCAAGTCAAACAAATGTACAAGTATAAATATTAAAGGTAGATATTTATACTAGATGGGCCTACTATAAAAAGGCTTCTAATATGTTGTGCAAGTGTCAAAAGCATTTCTGTTAGGGATCATAGTAAAGTAGTCCTTCAACTTAAAGTCACTACAATAAGTATGATTCTTGTATGTAGGGGTTGTAGGCTTTAATGCTATCAAATGTTATCAATAACAAAATAAATATAAAGGCAGCTAATTAGGTCTATAATGAATTATGTGAGGGATGTAAATGATGTTTAGAGGATTCATCCCTCCTATATAACAAAAGATGTGCCTTGAGCTTATTGATAGAGTGAGATGTGAAATATGTGCAATCAACGAAAAATGAGTCAATATTGGATATTGGGCTAATTTATGTATGAATGTGTAATTGGGTATTGAGAAACATACAATTCAATTTAACAAAAATGACACATTTATGTTTCGTGTTTAATCAAAGACATGTGAATAAAGGAATAAATTATCTTATGGTAATTATGGTTACAAGCTAATCTTTGTCTAAAATATTTAATCTAAAGATATTAAATATTATTATCAATTAAGTGAGAACCTATGGATTCATAAGCATGGAATAAATGTCGGGGAGAAAGTCATTAAATTAAATATGATTTAATTTAAGAGTTAGTTAACTAATTATAATTTAATTAATTATTTGACAATAAATTTAATTAAATATGATTTAATTAAGTGGATAAGATATTATGCTTGCATTGGACAAGCCCAACAAAGGGGCCTATTAAGTCAATGATAGATTATTAATATAACAGTCAACCTAGTTATAACTACGCTTTTTTTAAGAGAGAAAAAACTAAAAGAGTCTCTAAGAGTTTTGTGAGATGCACAAAATCCTACCCTTATCCAACTTGTGGCCTACATCAAAACCCACTCTTACATTGGTTGTTTGCACTAAGTAGAGATATCATACCCTTTAGTGCTTAATGATCAAAAGAAATATGACTTTCATCCTTTAACTACAAAGAGAACCCTCTAAGAACGGTATAAAGCATGTTAGAAAGGAAGAAGACATTCATTCTTTCTAATAAAATTGTTTTTGAAAACTACCCTTGAAACCCAACAAGCACCACGTCTATCATTCTTTATCGTTGCCCAAAAACCCAACCACTGCATCGCTTATGGCTCCTGCAAAGGTTAAGAAGCAACCCATTCATCTCTCTCAAACCACATCCCCACCCCCCTTCTCAAGCTTAATCCATGTGGCTTTACCTAATTGGTCACATCCTTTCCACACTTCTCATGTACATCACCCACTATTGGATTCTTATTCTCCACTTAAGAAGTAGTCTACACTGTTCAATGCCGAATTAGTGCATGTCCTTGAAATTGTTTGGAAGCCTTGGGAGCAAAGTTCAATATGGACCTATGAGTAATGTTAGGATGTGTTTAGAGATCCAAAAATATTGCAAAATCAAAGTGACTTGAGAATTTTATTGGATGGAATTAAAATATTAGAATATTATTATATTTATACTTTAATGTCATTTTATTTTATTTTTTCTTAAATAAAAGATTATAACACTTGTAGGGTCATCCTTAA